ATAATTCTGACTGACAAGTGACAATTATTAGTTTAATAATTCTGCCTGACAAGTGACAATTATTAGTTTAATAATTCTGCCTGACAATTGACAATTATTAGTTTAATAATTCTGACTGACAAGTGACCATTATTAGTTTAATAATTCTGCCTGACAAGTGACAATTATTAGTTTCAAAAATCTATTTTAACGCTTAAAGGGACTGTCATAGCAATTTCAATTGACTCTTTTATAGAAATTAAAGGGACTGTAGACACAATTTAAAGTGATCCTCCAATTAAAGAGAGGCCTTCATAAATATCGTCGTTTTTCTAACTTGAAATATGTAATACTCGGACAATTTCTCCATTGTTTCTGAAATCTGCAAACCATATTTATAGAGAAACCACAGTTAAATATAATCATTTTGCAAAGAGAAAAACAAAGACATTTCATTCAGTTTTAGCATGGTACTTTTGAAAGGGCCACATTGAATTATGTGTAGTCTCTTTAACTTTAAATGGATTTATTCCCCTAGCTATAATTTCAATAAAAAGGAGTTTATTCCATAATTCATCATCAAAATGATGTTCAAACTGTCCAGGGGGAGGGGGTAGCAAAATTATGTTTAAAGAACTATAAGCGTATTTTCAAATGACCCTCCATGCAAAGATGGCAATGTCCGGTTCACAACGGTACCCTTGAAACCTTTATCTGATCTTTACTGTGGAAGATATTATCGTTTTTCTTAAAAGAGTTTACTTCTGATAATTCATAAATATTTTCCTGCAGTAGATTTGTACTTATAAAGAAATCACACTTGAAAACAGTTTTTAAAACCATAAAAATTGATATCTAATTCATAATTGATCTGTCAAAGCTTTCAAGGGTTCCGTTGTGAATCGGAAATTTCCATCTTTGCATGGAGGGTCTCTCTAAATTACTCTTACATTCCCTTTAAGCTGTCTAGGGGGGGTGGGGGGAGCATCACTAATTACAGTCGAGTGGGGGCATGATGTTAATGAGGCGTAGACAGATATTTCAACATATTTATAAAACAAAATAAATCTTAACGTTATTTTCATTTTTTTCTGAACCCATTTTTTGGCAAAATATTGGTGATAATGACAAAAACGTTTCTATGGAAAATTTTTCAAAGACACAGCTTTTTTTCCTCGCTGGCCAAAATTAGTCATGAATTCAATTTTGTTACAACTTATATACGCTAAACTGCAAAAAAAAAACAGGACAATGGACATTATTGGTACGACTTTGTGACCTTGCTGCTCCTCTAGTTCAGATTTAACGCACAAGTATGAAAAAAGCAAATTGTCTGGGTTACATGTTATGAATTCAAAACATTACTGTTCTACTCAATACCTTTTTAATTAGAGAAGTTTTTGAAGTTTTTATAAAGAACAAATAAGATTTCATTCTTTCCTGCAGTTTACTCTAGTTTGTCGTGGATAAGTTTACTCTAGTTTGACGTGGTAAGAAGAAAATCGGACTAAAGAGACAGAAACGTCAATAAGAAAGTCAGACTAAAAAAAGACAGAAACGTCAATAAGAAAATCAGACTAAAAAGACAGAAACGTCAATAAGAAAATCAGACTAAAAAAGACAGAAACGTCAATAAGAAAATCAGACAAAAAAAGACAGAAACATCAATAAGAAAATCAGACCAAAAAAGACAGAAACGTCAATAAGAAAATCAGACTAAAAAAGACAGAAACGTCAACAAGAAAATCAGACTAAAAATGACAGAAACGTCAATAATAAAATCAGATTTAAAAGACAGAAAAATCAATAAGAAAATCAGACTAAAAAAACAGAATTATCAATTTGAAAATCAGATTAAAAAGACAGAACGTCAATAAGAAAATCAGGCTAAAAAAGACAGAAACGTCAATAATAAAATCAAACTAAAAAAGCAGAAATGTCAATAAGAAAATCAGACTAAAAAGACAAAACGTCAATAAGAAAATCAGACTAAAAAAGACAGAAATGTCAATAAGAAAATCAGACTAAAAAAGACAGAAAAGTCAATAAGAAAATCAGACTAAAAAAGACAGAAACGTCAATAAGAAAATCAGACTAAAAAGGAACTATTAGAGCAGAGTTTGTAAATAATCAACTAATAAATCTTTATAAAATTTTCTAAAATCAATGATTTATTGTTTTTATTTACAATTCAATTGTAAATTGCACAATATGCATTTGTATTGTGTATATGAATAAAACTGCTAAAAGTTTCACTTGCAGATTTAAAATTTTACCATGACCGACAAAAAATAAAAATTAAGATAAATCTTATAATTTTTTTAATAATCAAAAAATGGAAAGTGATTTTTTTTGGAAGCTTCCCTTGAAATAAATTATATCAAGAAATGTTACTGTTCATGCCTCCCCTCCCCTTACCCTCCCCTATGCCTTCACATTACACCCCCCCCCTCACCCGAATTTTTTCGTTCCCACTTTTTTAAATGCTAAATAGTGCTAATATTAGATGTCAATAAATCATTTTTTCCCATCAATTCATTCATTAAACAACCCCTTGCATATTTTATTAACAAACATGCTGAGAATTAATAAAATTAATGTCTATGTTGATTTTTAAGTTTATGTTGTTGTTGATGTTGATGTTGATGTTGATGTTTATGTTTATGTTGATGTTGATGTTGATGTTGATGTTAATGTTGATGTTGATGTTGATGTTGATGTTGATGTTGATGTTGATGTTGATGTTGATGTTGATGTGCAAATCTTATTTTTCAGGGTCGAGGTGGTTCCCCTCTCTCTTTCTTTTATCCAGAGCATTTAGGAAAATATACTTTTTTAAATTTTATTTTTTATTTTTTTATTTCAATTTCTATATTTCTTTTATCTCTATAACTTAATTTAAACATTTTCTTTAACACAAAGAGCCAGCTGTAAATGAAATTTAAAATCTTTTTACAACATTTTTTATGGCCCTTATTGACATTGAAAGCGTACTTTCAAGTGACCCTCCATGTAAAGATGCCAGTGACGGATTCACAACCAGTAAAAACTTAATCTGATCAAGATTCAATTCTATATCAATGTTTATAATTTTGAATACTGATCATTTTTAATTGTGGGTTCTTTACAAAACTGACTTGCGGATTTCTACTGCAGGAAAACATATAGAAATTAATAAACCTAGAAAAACGACACTATCTTCCATATTAATGATCAGATTAAGGTTTCTAAGGTATCGTCGTGAGTCAGGTATATTCTTCTTTGCCTGGAGGGTCACTTAAACATTAGGAGTTTTTCTCCTATTTTTCTCCTATCTTTTATCTCCTAATTTTTCTCCTATTTTCCTATTATTCTCCTATTTATTTCCTATTTTACTCCTATTTTTCTCCTATTTTACTCCTATTTTTCTCCTATTTTTCTCCTATTTTTTTCCTATTACTCTCCTATTTATCTCCTATTTTACTCCTATTTTTCTCCTATTTTTTTCCTATTATTCTCTTATTTATCTCCTATTTTTCTCCTAATTTTACGCTAACACTCCCTTTAAAAAATGTATTTGATCAGGGTCTCCCCCGCCAGCACATATGGGAGGTATACCATACAGTCTGGATCCTCATAAAGGTCCAGTAGGTAGGTTGGGGGGAAGTAGTTTACAAAAAAAATATTTAAAGCTTTTTACAAACATGTCTTTTTTGTGCAATTAAAATTTATTAAAATAAAAGACGAAAATATAAATGATTTGATTCCCCCTATTGTGTAAAAACTCAAAATATTTTGAATTAAAAAAGATCACTTTCAATTCGAAATTAGTTTATTTTTCGGTAAGAAGATAATATACCGAGAACCCTTAATGATTTGTAAAAGAGAAAAATGTTTTCGAATTTTCGAATATAAAAGAATTGAATCCTTTGCCACTAACTCTGATTTTTCTAATTCTTAAATCTTTGCAACCAAATGTCGTTGACCACAGATATTTCAAACTTTGAATTCTGTTAATTAGTAAGTTTGTAAGTTAGTAAGTAGGATAGCAAGGTTGCAAGATATAAAATTAAAAATTTGAGTTTGCCACAATACTTATATCCTTTAACTAAAACAGGCACCATCTTTTTTAACATGGTTTAAACAAAAAAGCTTTGCAGTTGAGTCTAGAGAAAAACAGAAAATTGTTTAATTTTCGAATATAAAGTTGAATAAATGTTAAAATTAAAACTTAGTCCCTTGAAAATGTAAATTTTATTACATTTTTTAGTTCGGAGTCCGAATTTAATGAATTTGAGCCGCGTCTCAATTCCACCAAAAACTGGATTCAATTGAGCGCAGGCTTAAATCTTGAAACTTTGAAAACAATTTTAAGTGGAACCAACCATATTTGAGCCGCGTCTCAAATTTAATATTTCTTTAATGAAAAGTTCTTAACAAAAGTATGTTCTTAATATTTTTATGTTTACTTAATTAAGTGTAAATTTTTATTTTTTCCACCCTTTAGCATATTTTTGATCAGGTTTCCGTGGTTATCCGTTTTCCAGTCAATACAGTCCCTACCCAGATTTAACTTCATGGTGAGTATACACTGCAGATATCATTGCTGGAAATTTATTGACATTTTGTTCGAAATATAAAATAAAATGTTTTATATAACACACATTCTGTTCATAACTTTGAACATTCTGTTCGTCACTTCAAACATTCTGTGCATAACTTTGAACATAAAATTTTAAATATATATTATCATTACAAATTATAATTTATCAATCTTAAAGTTTTTTTTAATAAACCAAGAATTGGCCTTTACCACAAACTCTGATTTTCTAATCCTTATATCTTTTATCCCCAAAGTCGTAGGCCATAGTTATTTTAATATGAAAGGCTTACACCATCAGTATGCAAAGATATAGGGATTAGAAAATTTGAGTTGGTGGCAAACCTCAATTTCTTTATACAGATAGAATACTATTTCTTTTTGTTTATTGTTGCATACCTGAAATTATTATTATGATATAGTGTTATAATTATCGGAAATCATCTTGGCGCCGAAATCGATGTCCCTAAATAATAAGGGGGGGAGG